TTAAATTGGTACAGGGTTTTCGAGATAAGAAAAATGGTATAACACCTAATCATGATATTAAAGTTAAATCTTTATTTTTAATAGTCAAAAAGCTAAAGCTCAAACAAGTTCAGTTTCATTAAGATAATTTATTCGCTGAAGTCCAGGAATTATTTCAAATATATTCTTTTTCAGTACAATGAAGGAAAAATAAACGACTCTTAATAATTCTAGAAAAATAATCCTACAGATGCACCCATTTCTATGATTCTGTTCTATGAATTAACCAACAAAGAGATTTAGAAAGAAAAAAAAAAATAAGTTTCTCTATATTCTGACCCCACAAAAATAAGGCAGAAGCCATAAAATCAAGAAAAAAGGATTCTTTCCATTTGACAGAGAAAAGTAATTCTCTATCAGAATAAAAGTCTGTATAAACAAAGATCTGTTCCCTCCCATAACCACCACCAATTCTAGAGAATTTTGTTTTTTTCATAAAGTCTAAAGATCATGAAATTTTGGGGGACTTTGAAAAATTCCAATGTGTCTAGAAGGTTTTCTTTCTTTTTTTTTTTTTTTTTTTAACCACAAATATACATATTAGTCTGAATCAAAATCAACAGCCATTTTTTTTTTGTGTTTTTAGGATCAGATTTTCTTCATTATTTCTTTCTGTTTATGTGCACATCTAATTATCCTCTTTTGACAGGGATTTGAATTTTGATTTTTTTTTATAATGTATTGAAGCAAAGATGAAAAAATAAGATTTTTATGCTATTATACCATACGAGTTCAGATTATTCCAATGCATTGCCAAAGTCACCCATAATATCAGCAGCGCTTTGAAACTATAGTTACTTTCAGAAAGGAGTGTTATTGGTTTCACAAAATTTGCTTTTATGATTTAGATCTAGAAGAGGAACATCTTTGTAATCATTACTCAACAATTAATAACAACTTTAAAAAAAAAAAAAAAAAAGTATAATTTCTCAAATATGGGGCAATCAACGACCCTATTTATCACTATTACAAAATATAAATGTTCCAAATTTTATTGAAAAGTTCAGTTTTCCTTGGCAATTTTTAAATTCTTTGACATTGTTCGAACACTTCCCAAATATGACAGAGGAAGGAAAGTGAGACACTGAGATCCAAAGATGTATTGGGATGGCCAAAAGACATTCCAAAGCTAAGCAGAGTATTACAAGACAGGAAAGTTTTATTGGAAACAAAGAAAAGAGTACCTAACTGATACATGATATGTGTTGTCCTGTATGGCAGCGAATGCAGGGCAATCTCCTCAAAGATAAAGAGACTTGAAGCAACAGAAATGTGTTTCTACAGAAGGATGTCAAAGATACCATGGGCCGAACATGCGAGCAACAACTAGGTTTTAGAGAAAATGGAAACAAAAAAGAAACATACTTAACATCAGAAAGAAGCAACTGAAATTTCTGGGACATGTAATGAGGACGGAAGGCTTGGAAAATCTGATATTCACAGGACAGAGAGAAAGAGGGACAGGGGAAAGCAATGTGTGACATATTTAATGGGCTTGAGCAAGTGGATTGCAAAACAGGGTCTAGGAGAAATAAGACAAAACTTATTAAGAGCTATAAGGAACAAGAGGAGGTGGAGGGCAATGATTGCCTACATCCTGAAGGGAGATGGTACATAAAAGAAAGTTAACCAAAAACATGTCCATCTTCCTTGAAATTTCACTTTATTTAATAATCTCTCTAACCTCTTTCTAACATGTTTTTCTGTTGTTTGTGTTAGTCTTTTTGGCTTTAGTTGGATGTACGGTAGAGTAATGGATTGTAGCTCAGATTGAGGAATCGGAGAATTGAGTTTGAATGTCAGTCTATGAGAAGGAAAACTGAATTCAAAACTGTATATAACATATCACCTACTATGCAGCTATAAAAAGGATCATTCACTTTGACTATGATCCCAAGTTGACTCCTTTATTATTTAATCTTTTACATGTACCACTTCAACTTAAATACAAAATCACGTTTATTCAGTCTTCCATCATATAAACAAAATTCTCATTTTCTGTTGTGTGAACACCCCAAATTTATCCCTTTTTAGTATGTCACCTTATAAAAAATAAAATATAAACACCTGCTTAATGTATATAAAAAATTTGATAAGTATTTCTGCTTCCCCTAATATGAACTATCAAATTTATTTCTTTTTATAAATTTAAAAATAGAAAAAAAGACGACACATTGTCTCTTGTCAGGTAGCTAAGGAAAAATATGTGGTGGTGGTGGTGGGGAGATAGAGTTTCCTTCCCTCCCAGACAGCCAACAGACCCTGCTCACTTTAAAATTGATTAACTATCTGTTTGCAATTGGTGGGTAGGTCAAATTCAATATTGCTACTGCAAAAGTATGGCAGTGGCAAATTTATTTTAAAAAAATGGAAAATCGACCACCAAAATATTGTCATACTCATCTCTTTCTGCTGATTTCAGATCAAAAGAGATGATGATGATAATCTACATCCAAAAACCAGATTAATGTATCAGATTAAGATCTGGCAGGATAATGTTACCTCCATTTACAGCTGTATACACCTATTAAGTAATGTAAAAACTGACAGCACAAGTCACACAAAAGCTTTAAATTATCTAAATCTTTTAATTGCTTCTATATAAAACATTGTACAGATATTTGTCTATTCAAAACACTTTCTAGTAAAATAATATGGCTTGGTTTATTTTGTTTTATGGCACATTAACTTCAATGGGTTATTTAATGCCAACAAGATCTTTAGGATAGGTTTGTACGAATAGAATATGTATTCTTTGTAAGAAATCAGTTTGTACGAGATTTGGTTTAGTTTATTTTGTTTCAACAAAATACAATACTCGCCAGCAGTGTGAAGTAGGTAAACCACTGCTAGTGATGGACTACTTAGTATATTATCCCCATTTACAATAGTGTCCAACATATTTATGAGGATTGGGGCATACACATTAGTGTTCATGGGTAAGGTATATAACGCAGGTATTTATTGAAAAAAAAGGAAATAAATAAAGTGCTTATTTTTGTTGTCAATTCTCAAAAAAAAAAAAAAAAAAAAAAAAAAAAAAGTATAAATTCACTTTCAGCATATAGGGGTTTTTTTTTTTTTTGTAATCATCACTTTTTAAAAAAACATTCCCGAGGAGTGAAGGTCATTAGAATAGCAGTATCAAGGCAAAAATCTGTCCATTTGACATCCTGCTTTTTTGTGGGCACAAAGATCTAAGATTGTCAAAAAAAAAAAAAAAAAAAAAGACGAGAGACAAATGAGAAACAATCAGTTTTTTCTATTTCCTCTCAACCTTTATTTGTTTCTTTTTCTTTTGAATTGCCTCCAGTCACAATTGAAAATATCGAAACATTACCGAAACATCTTCAAACAGAAGAATTGAATATGCGAGAATCATACTTATTATAAAACCCAGGTTGTGTGTGTGTGTGTTTGTTTATATATTGGATCGGATTCCCTACATTTTTCAACCGATTTCAACAAAACTTCACAGGACTACGTAAAATTACATTGCGTTAGTTCTGACAACGCCAAAAATTGGAAAAACAATTGTTTTTTTGCATGAAATCAATTTCAAAAGAGGCATCACAGTCGCGAAAATGAAAGGGGGACAACTCATATAGAGTTATACTTATCATAAAACCCAGGTTGTTTTTGTGTGTGTGTGTGTGTGTGTGTGTGTGCGTGTTCCTTTATATATGGTATCGGATTTCCTACATTTTTCAACCGATTTCAACAAAACTTCACTTTTCTTTTGGCAGGTAGTGTTTATTGTTTTGCACACTTTTTTCTTTATTTTTACATTCACAATGCTTTAAAAATTCCATTTACAAGACAATTGTTTATGATAAAATTCTATTCAATCGGTAGACTCATAACGATTGAAAACAATGTTTTTGTTTGAGTTTGACAAATTCAAAAAAAAAAAAAAAAAAAAAAAAAAAAAAAAAAATAAATGATCGATACTTGATCTATCTCTTACTGTTACATCCCCGGGCAATGCCGGGCTCTACTGCTAGTCTCTGATAAGACTTACAGCACAACAAAATGTTCCTTGTCTATTTATATCTTTGAGATAGATTATTTTTAACCTTTACCACACTAATTTCTTTCTAGAGATGTTCCCCCTGCCACTGATTCTTTTTGAGAATGAATGAGTAATGTTTTGATGTAATGCATTATGTTTTGCATGCATGTTTTGATGTTGAAAACCAAAGAAATTGAAACGCAAAATAAAAAAACAAATACATTAAAAAATACATAAATAAGTCAATGTAAATTTAACTTTTATTATGCCTTGTGGAGTTCTGGGGTTGCAGTAAGAAGCAAAATCGCTAAGAAGGCTTTCATTTCGTCAAAAAAGTGACATTTTTCTTCATGATTACATACCTGAAGACACCAGCATTTGTTGCTCTTTCTTTCACCTGATTCACATTTGTTCCATTGACGAATAAAGCTATTATTTTGTTGTTTATAAATAGACAAAATAATTCACCTTCAAAAAGGTTATCGGTTATATCAACAGTCGCCAGAAGCATCAATAAAATTAGTCAGGCATGGATGATAGTAGCTGCTAGAGTAGCAAAGGGAGATAATTCTATGGCGACTATTGTCACCTGCAGTGTAGTAAAGGTTAAAGAAAGACAATTGAACTTTAATGCTCATGACATGGTTTCTCTATCAAATGATTTTTAAGGCCATGTAAAATTTTTTTCAAAATTGAACACTCAATTCAGCGTATGTTTCTTTTTTTCTGACACCTTATTATTTTATTAAATCAATTTTTATCAGTTGTATTTATTAATGTATTTTCAATCTAAGCATTAAATTTTTTTTTTTTTTTTTTTTTTAGACAACATTAGATTAACATATTTCTGTATGACAACAGAGCAAACAGTATTTTTCAGGGAGATTACAGACAGACAGGGGCAGAGGAAAGGAAGTTTTGTTTATTGTTTTTTTTTTTTTTTGCTTACCTGAAGCTTCCATAGACAATGAGAAGAATAGAGATCACAAATGTTGATAACCTTGAGGAATCTACCACTGAAATGGCTCTGTGAGAAAAATAGAAAAGAAAGAAAAAAAAAAAAGAAAAAGAAAAATTAAAATCAAACAAAATATTTGAGAACAGAAAACAAAAAAAAACTGCTGATATTATCCTTATAATGAAAGTTATGCAGAGTGATTGAAAAGTAACACTATTTCAAAATATGTATAATTTATTTATTAACTATAATTTTTACAAGAAATGGACACGAAAGGAAAGCGTTTAGCATGAGGTTTTATTTAAAATTCTATATGAACACCAGATTTCACTACCTGCTTCTTGAGCCACCCAAGAACAATGTCAACTGATTTCACCAGGAACTCTAGAAAAAATCACAAGGTGTTAATTTAGAACTCCTGGTTGGCTACTCATACATAAAATAGGGAGTTACTTTTCAATCACCCTGTATTTAAAACATGATTTGAAGACCTTAATATTGTAATCGATAAGCAAAAATCTAATTTTAACATCAAAATGCATTAACTATTGTTAAATTTCATATTCCTTTATCACAGGAAAAACTGTAAAGGAAAAAAAAAATTATACATCAAAAGAAAAGGCAATGCCATTAATAGCAAATTTATAAGTTTTACAATCATCAAAAAATTCCTGAAAGATAAAATATGATCATCATTCAGTAGCTCTCCATAACCTCATGCCATGTATGATACACACTTAGGCAATCATATATCTTTCGATACATGACTGGCAAGGCAGATTTTTTTCCCTACAGTATGTTAGCATTTCTTTCTGTGGTAGACCAGATGCCATCCAAGGCTATAGAACCCAGTATGACCTACTAGTTACCCATAGCTGGAGGGAGAAGAAGAGGATGCATACCTTTCCCAAGGGTATTAGTACATAAGCGAATTTAATGGATTCAAATGGAAACCGAACTCGGCTCTCCAATTCCACAAACCGAGCCACTATCCATTACTCCACCATGCCTCCTTTTTCATCATTATTTAGCCATAACAAAGTAATATGTTAATTCACTCAATCTTACTTATTAATACAATCAATCAACACTACCTGACTGCTTGAAGCACTGTCCGTACTCTCCACATCAATCATAGTAACCTGATGCCACCCCCATCTCTTATTCACTTATCTGATGATTTCTCTTTCAGAAGGTCTCGCTTCCATTTTCCTTTAGAAAAAATGTATTAAATTGTCCCAAATTCACAGAGCTGTAAGTTCAAATAGCTGCAAATCCACCTCATAGGCTTCTGCTCTCTTGTTCACCGATTTTATATGCACTCCGTAACCAGCACACCCAGGCCATTCCGTCAACTCCGTAACCAGCACATCCAGGCCATTCCGTCAACTCCGTAACCAGCACATCCAGGCCATTCCGTCAACTCCGTAACCAGCACATCCAGGCCATTCCGCCAACTCCGTAACCAGCACATCCAGGCCATTCCGCCAACTCCGTAACCAGCACACCCAGGCCATTCCGCCAACTCCGTAACCAGCACACCCAGGCCATTCCGCCAACTCCGTAACCAGCACACCCAGTCCATTCCGCCAACTCCGAACCAGCACACCCAGGCCATTCCGCCAACTCCGTAACCAGCACACCCAGGCCATTCCGCCAACTCCGAAACCAGCACATCCAGGCCATTCCGTCAACTCCGTAACCAGCACATCCAGGCCATTCCGTCAACTCCGAACCAGCACATCCAGGCCATTCCGTCAACTCCGAACCAGCACATCCAGGCCATTCCGTCAACTCCGTAACCAGCACACCCAGGCCATTCCGTCAACTCCGTAACCAGCACACCCAGGCCATTCCGTCAACTCCGTAAACAGCACACCCAGGCCATTCCGCCAACTCCGTAACCAGCACACCCAGGCCATTCCGCCAACTCCGTAACCAGCACACCCAGGCCATTCCGTCAACTCCGTAACCAGCACATCCAGGCCATTCTGTCAACTCCGTAACCAGCACATCCAGGCCATTCCATCAACTCCGTAACCAGCACACCCAGGCCATTTCGTCAACTCCGTAACCAGCACACCCAGGCCATTCCATCAAACGTTTTCTTTTAAATGATGGAATGATTCTGCCTCAATTTTTATTTGTAGCATGAAGCCAGTGGTATAGGCAGGTGCATGCTTTCAGCCTTTTTGAATTAAGTGGACACACTCCATGACCTCAATCTCTTGATCACAAAAATCGCAGCTATGAGTCCATCCTTTTTTGCCTTGTGCTTCACTGTAAGAGCACAGTCTTTGATTCTTCCGTAGAAGACTGCCTAACACCTGTTTGCCTTTGGTACATGATTCTCCATGAAGAGATGGTACAAGTCTCTTCAGATGAGTCAGTTGACATATTATGGCTAGTGATTTGGTTTGTTTTACGGCATATCAATATCTCAATGGGTCATTTAATGCTAACAAGATATTTAGGATAAGTTTATATGAATAGAATATGCATTTTTTGGTATAGTTTTGTTTGGCTTGTTTTCTTTTGCGGCATATCAACCTCAATGGGTTATTTAATACTGACAAAATTTTTATTGCTGGTAATATATTTTTCAAAAATGTATTGCTGGTAATGTTTTTCTTCCCCTTCAAAAATCTATTTATGGTAATATTTTTCTTCAAAAATCTATTGCAGGTAATATTTTTACACACAAAAATAGGGATTTCATAGTATACATTTTTTTTTTTTTTGAAGAGGTTAAAAATCATGTATTTTCAGTGACCAGTTGCACTACACACAGGTAATTTTTTTCCTGAAAGAGTTAAAATTCATACAAATTCAGGGGTTGCAGTATACATAAAGTCAGCTTATCCACAATTTACAAACAAAACTGGCTAGATGTAGCCATAAATTCTATGCTAACAGTTTCTTTTCTTGCCCTTCTCGCTTGTGGAACTCCCTTCCAGCTCCATGCTTTCCAGCCAACTTTAATCTCCAAAAATGTAAATGCAATGTCAGTCGTTATTCACTGTCTTCCTGATTACTCTTTTCTCTTCCCGCTCATTAGTAATGTTTCTGTTCCTAGTTCTTTCACACTCAGTAACCCCTTGTGTTTTAGATGGATTTACTGCCTTGCTTAGGGTGAAATTGATAAAAAAAAAATTTTTTAAATTTAAAAAACAAAAAGAATATAAAACAAGTTAACATTTTTTGAATTAGTCATTAGCCATTCTCTGTTACATTGGAAACTTTGAAAATGAATAACTGAGACGTCTTGCAGACGTCTCAGTTATCTCCCTTTAACTCAACTCTCTTTGGGTCAAATCACTGGATCCAATCAATGCCTTTATCCACTGGGCCATGTTAGCTGGATCCAAAGAAAGAGTTGTGAGTTCAATAACTGGCTACTGCAGTGGTGAACAAAACCTTGGAAAGTTGAGTTAAAGAGAGATAACAGAGACATCTAGAAGAGGCATGGTATGTGGAACTTGAACAATCTACCCCTGTGGATGAAATAAAGGGTTCAGTTCAAAATTCCAATCACCTGAAGAAGACTGGAGTATACGACGATCCAAACATTGGGAATATGTAAAGATGAGGACAACAGTCCAAACAATGTAAATAATTACAACCAAAGAAATATTAGACAACCAGAGTGTCAACAAAAACATTGTGAATATGGTGTAAATAATTACAATACCTCATCTCAGAAATATTAGACAGATTCTGAAGGCCAGAAGTACAACGGCCAAAACATTGTGAATATGGCCAAAGATGAGAACAAACAATGTAAATAGTCTAAAACATTGAAATGAATATGGCAAAACAAATATGAACAAAGATGAAACAGTCTGAACAATGTAAATAGTCTAAATAATTACAATACCTCATCTCAGAAATATTAGACAGATTCTGAAGGCCAGAGTGTACAACGGCCAAAACATTGTGAATATGGCAACAAAGATTCTGAACAATGTAAATAGTCTAAATAATTACAATACCTCATCTCAGAAATATTAGACAGATTCTGAAGGCCAGAGTGTACAACGGCCAAAACATTGTGAATATGGCAACAAAGATGAGAACAGTCTGAACAATGTAAATAGTCTAAATAATTACAATACCTCATCTCAGAAATATTAGACAGATTCTGAAGGCCAGAGTGTACAACGGCCAAAACATTGTGAATATGGCAACAAAGATGAGAACAGTCTGAACAATGTAAATAGTCTAAATAATTACAATACCTCATCTCAGAAATATTAGACAGATTCTGAAGGCCAGAGTGTACAACGGCCAAAACATTGTGAAACAAAGATATCTGAACAATGCTAAATAATTACAAAGATGAGAACAGTCTGAACAAAAGATGTAAATAGTCTAAATAATTACAATACCTCAGAAATCATCTCAACGAAAACATTGTATTGAGACAGAGAACAATGTAAATAGTCTAAATTTTAAAATTTGACAGAGACAGAAATTTTAAAATTTGGATTTCTTATATCTTCAACATTTTCTTCTCTGCATATAATTATAATATATTTGCATTATGTATTTACCCCCTCCTCCCACCCTCTCTCCTATAACCCATCATAGTCGTAGTGGCACTGCATGGTAGCTTGCTCAACAAGAAGCCTCCATTTGATCTTGCTGTTTGCCAATGTCTGGGATGGGGCAAAACTTTCGCCAGTTCATTTAACAACGTTATCCAATTATCTCTTTCTTTGGCATACTTTCCTTCTTGTACCATTCCTTGCCAGAAATTCTGTTGCATTTTGGGGTTTTTTTGCATTTTAATTTCTTCCTTTCTGACAAAATGTTTTCTGTTGTGTTGAATAATACAAGGACATGTTTATGATGAAACTCAAATCACCGCATTATTTTTACCAAGATTATCAATGTTCATAATCTTTTGATGTAGAATTAATGAGAATCATTAAAAGGAATTATTTTGCATAAATCTTATTCGATGATCTTAGAATAGAGAAATAGCAAAGAAATCAAAAACAACCAGATAAGAAGAGAAATGTTTTAACTATCACAGACATTCAACAAATTCAGTTTTTATAAACACT